GACCGGCCGTGGGGTAAGGGTCCCAGCGCCCGCGGCCGGAGGGACGGTGTCAGGGCTGCGGTCGGTTTACCCAGCGGGGATGGGCAGACGGCGCCGCAGCCTCTGACCGGCGGGTTGGCATTACCTCCGCGTGCTTTCTTCACCTGCTAAGCTGCGTTTGGTATCGCCTATGCTTGCCTTTACTTCGGGATTACTCCGGAGGGGTTATCCCTCCGTCTCACCCCACTGAAAGCAAAAAGCAGTGACTGCATCGAGCAGCGGGCACCAGTGTTTGTCGGCTGGGCACCCCGACGGGGGCTTTTGCAGGGTTGGGGGGATCCCCCGCTCGCCCCTGGGGAAGCTGCTGTTGGACCGGCGCCGGCTGAGGCTGCAGGCGTACGCCGTGCCTTTGCTTAGGCACAGACCTGAGCCGTGGCTTCCCGCCACCTTGCTCCAGCCCAAACTCTTCTTGCCTGTCCCCGGCTGCCGTTTTCAAGCTGCCGAGGGAGCAAGATGCAGCCGCGGTACTCAGGCTCCTGCGGTCCCCGATGCAGGACAGGCATCTCCCATCAGCCTCCTCCCACAGCCCTCTCCTCCGCAAAGAGGAGCGGGGACCCGCACGCAGCACGGCCGGCTCGGGGGGCACGCGTAGGACACGCCGGCGGGACCGCACGCTCCTGGAGGGATTTTCAGCCCCTCCCCGAGGCACCGTGTTACCTTTGTAAACTACCCGGCACGGCATAGCTTTGGCGGGGAGCTGCGGAGAATTTGTCCTGGGGAGTGTTGGCAGTGAAAAAGCCGCTCTGTGTCATGGCAAAGATAAGCCCAGAGCCTTCTCAGTGTAAAACGAGCATCATTTTGTGCACAGGCACGGGGACAGCCTCCTGTCCCTGCCGGGGGTCTCCCCGCTGTGCCCAGCTGAGCTATAGGTACCAAAGCCAGGTCCAAGCAGAGGGGCACGGATTTGCAATTTGCGGTCATCCAGGGCAAACTGAACACCTGGCGTGGGGCAAACGGCTCCTCTGGTCCAGCAGCAGGGATGCAGGAGGGCTTTGGTACGAGAGGAGCATCATTCCAAAGCTTTCCTGTGGGACAGCATCATTCTTTGCACTGAAATGTCTTCTCTGTTTTCATCTTTCTCCAGTTTGCCAACTTGTGTTGCCATTTGAGGTCCGGTCTTTAATTCTATGTGGGTTTTTTTGTTTTTCAATTTACTTTCTCCTTAACAGCAAAAACAGATCAGTAATGCACTGATGGGGGTGGGGGGTTCTTTTGTGGCCACGAGCCCAAAATCCATATGGATGGATCCAGGGGCAGCCGGGCATCTATATGAAACGCCTCGTGTCTGACCGCGATGAGCTCCGGCTCACAGATGCCGTTCTGCAGGCAGCGGCTCCGCGGCCGTTCCCAGCAGGGCACCAGGACGTAATATGTCCTTTCAGAAAGCCACGGGCGCTTGCCCCGTGCATGCTCCCTCCCTTCCTCACCATCACAGCTCGCCTCTTTTTCAGCTTGCGGAAAAATACGGCCCCATCTTCACCCTCCACTTTGGGTTCCAGAAAGTTGTGGTCCTGACCGGGTACGAAGTTGTGCGGGACGCGCTTGTGAACTACACAGAGGAGTTTGTAGACAGACCATCCATCCCAATATTTGACCAAATTCAGAACGGAAACGGTACTAGAGAAATGAGCGGGGGCGGGCGGGAGGGACGACGCCGTCGCTTAGTGCCAGCCTAACTGTGCTCCCCCGGCACCCGGCTTTTAAACATCCCCTTGGACCCCTCCAAAGCCAAGCCGACAGAAAAGATTTGGCTTTCCTCGCTTGCACGCAATGCCTCCTGGCTTTTCGCTGCCATCATTTTTGCGAATGCACTTGTGGCTGATCCGTATCTTAAACGCTGGAGGGTGAGGAGTGGGATTTTTAAAGGCACCGAGGTAATTCTGGGGTTAATTTCTGTAAGACGCCAACGAGAGCGGCTCTCCACCACCACCACATTTACAAACCTTCCCCACGGTTCCCGGGGACTTTGGACTAACTGGTTTGGCTGTTCGGAGCTGTAGGGTTTTTCCCTTTCTCCCACGGCCGGGTGCCACAACTGTGGACATCATCGGTCCCCCGGGCCCTGCCTCCCCACAAAAGCTCTTGGGTGGACCATATCAAACAGGTTCATGCAGAAGCAATAGGCTGAGGCTGGAAATTTGCCCCCACAACCAACCCCATGTTTTTTCCAGGGCAACTGAGTATTTCAGAGGACTTTTTGCCTTGTTTGTCCACCCTCTGCTTCAGCTGAGGCTTCAGCTGTGAGCATCCAAAAGGCAGCTCTATATGCTGGTCACGGGCTGAAGTCGGGATTACAATTAGAAATGAAATTACCCAGCCATAATATCAATATAGGAATTTATCGCTACATAAGGAAAAGGAATCGATGGGGAGAAAAAGTATTTTTCAAAGCTAATTCACACGTAAAATATCCCCGTGGGAGACTGTCAGTATTGCACTGTAAGTCCTTTCACACTTACCTTCTCACCCCGAGTCTGAGCCACTTAGAGGTGTCCCAAAGCTGTAAATTCACAGGGGCTGTTAAGTAACACCGGTCACAAATTTTCCCATGAAACATTTTTTTCTTCAGAAAATGCGAATGTGTTGACTCTGAAGCTGTTTGCAGAAAAGAAACGATCCAGATGAAATCACCTGAATTAGAGAAAAGTTAAAAGTGAAGTTTAGAAATTTGCTTTGATATTTTTAGAGCAAGAAGATTTGCTTTCCAAATTAAAAACTGCACTGCTTTAAAATAGCCTTTATTCTAGAAAAAACCAAACACATTTAAAAACCTTGCAGCCGAGATGCGGATGTGAAGTGCTGGAATCCAGCTTTTCGACTGACACAATCTGAGATAGTCTTAGGATTACTGACAAAAGTTTTTCCTTCGCTGTTTCCACCACCCTGACAGGATGAAATGCCCATCCCTGCTCGGTGGTGTTAGTGGGCATCACGGCACGAGGGTCCACGACCAGGGTCGAGGACACACAGATAAAATATCCCACACAGATAAAATACCTTTATGGCTGGAATGGGATGAAGTGAGAAGCTTCAAAGACACAAGGTTGTTCCTTGAGGCCTCAGACTTGCAACCAAACAGGGTCAGAAAGTTGTGTGATTGACTTAGACTGATGTCTCTCCCCAGCTCTACAGCCAACCAGTACTGGTCTGAAAGCCAGACCTGCTTATCTCGCGCTCAGGAGAGGGCTGGGGCAGACTGGGTTGGGTGGGAGCTCGTTTCTTCCCAAACTAGAGGCTCAGTGAGACTGGGCGAATGGAGCTGAGAGGATACAGGGATGGGGCACACAGAAATGGGAGACCCTTAGTCCCCAAATCCATGGGAAACCGGGCAGCAGAAACACTTGTGGAGATCCCTCCTCCTCCAGTCCCCTGTTTTGTTTCGTGCGGTGGGGCTCCTCCGTGCATGAGCCCAGCGGCGATGCCTCACGGCCTCCCCAGGTTTGTTCTTCTCTATCGGGGAGCTGTGGAGAACAACCCGGAGGTTCACCGTATCCAGCATGCGCAACCTCGGCATGGGGAAAAAAATGATAGAAGGGAGAATTTTCGAGGAGCTTCACTTCCTTATCGAGATGATCAAATCCTTCAAAGGTGAGCTGGAGACCATCGCGGTGCTGTACAGCCCCATACGCGTCACTGCTGCTGCAACATCTCACTAACGTTTCCATCCTCCTCCCGTTGCAGGGGAACCTTTCGGCCTGACGTCCTTCAACTGTGCTCCAATCAACATCACCTTCATCATGCTGTTTGGGGACAGGTTTGACTATAAGGACCCAACATTTCTCACTCTCTTAAGACTCATAGATGAAGTTATGATCCTTCTGGGATCTCCGTATTTGAACGTAAGTAACCTGCCCCACAGATTAACGTTTTTTTTACACTGGCACATTACATTTGTGAGCCACACAAACCACAGGATTTAGTTCAGCAGTTTTCAAATGTTCAGAACCCACCATTACACCTAAAATGTGACAGTTCTCCTGTCATACCACCTTGGTCACCACAAGTGTGCAGCCAGATTCCCTTTCGCTGCTCTCCTTTGGAACCATCCTGCACATCTGTGCGGAGATAAAATGAGAACTGAACTATGGTTATTTTAGCTCTACAGATTATTTTTTTTTTTCATTTTCAACAAACTCGCACCATCCTTTAGGCTTTCTTTGCCTTTGCTGCATTTCCCAAAAAGGCCCATTCAGTGTTGATGTTCACGTGAGTGAGATTTCACAGATTGCATTAAAAACACTTCCTTGGAGAGTCCCAGGAAAACGCTGCTTCCCTTCAAACTTTCATACCCCGTCCTTAACATAACTGACGTTGGAAAAAACTAACCAATGTCATACTGATCTGAACTGGCTGGTGGCCTGGCACACTGGAGCCCCAACTCTGTCGAGAGGCTGACCTGGCTGTTACTGGGAGAGGATCTGTTCCCACAGAACAGCAAAAATGCTTAAAATTAGGCAGTATTACATAAGGGCTCAAAGGTTGCAAAGCCCTCTCTTGCGAAAATCTGCCCGGGAAGTCCCTGGGATGCTCAGATACTCCTACTGCCAGGCAAAACTCACCCGATATGTCATGCCTTAGGAAGAAGCTGTTGCAGCATGCTGATACTTCTGCAGACTTAATGCTTCTCTTTTTTAATTCCTCACTAGTATTTCAATTTCTACCCGTTCCTTGGGTTTCTTTTCAAAACCCACAAGATTATGCTTGGGAAAATAGAAGATGTGCGCGTCATTTTAAGGCAATACATCAAGGCAAGCAGGGAGGACATCAACGAGAACAGCGTGAGGAGCTACATCGATGCACTGATATTCAAGCAACAAGAGGTATTTGATCTCTTAGCTCTCTTGACTCTTCGCAATGTCTTCTCTGGATTTTCTAGCTAAAACAGTTGCTGAGTCTTGATTTGTCATGTCATGTAAGCCTATTGAAATCCATGCTGTTATTCTAGTGCTATTGAAATAAGACGCCAGTCTCTTACAGCTGGTGTAATCTACTGCAGGGACTTCTCTATCGAAATTAAGATATGAAAGCCACTGTCTCAGTCCACTGCTGAAATAGCAGCGTTAATAACGTGAGATCAGCTCCTTGTTCCTAGTAGAAATGGCATGAATTCACATAAAGGCTGGCTCTGCCTTTATTTTTACAACAACAAATCAATTAATCATCGATACTGTTGCTCCAAGATGAATGATACACTTAAAGCACTTGGATAATAAATCATCCGTACAAGTCCTAGCCCTGCCCTGCGTCATGATTTAGGAGAGACTCGGCAGTTTCACACATCAGTTGATTTCACTCAACACAAGGTATTTGGGATCTGAGGTTTTTCTTGTTTCTGGATCTGGGCCAACCTAAGCCTTCTACCCAGCTATGTGGAGGAAGGGTCAGCACAGTCCTAAAGCCCAGCAGAAATGGCCTGAAAGGTCATTTTGAACATTGTTGGGGATTCAATCTTGTCCTTGGGCAGGAGGAGTCCCTCAGAGCTAAGATTAGCTGAATTTCCTTCTGTATGGGGGAGAGACCGGGCTCTTTCCAAACCTGCGAGGCCGAGTCCGTGAACAGCGTTTGGCTCTGGGCCTCAGCCTGCATCTGGCTGGAGATGGATGCCGAACCAGACCTCCACTCCAAACCTTCCGTCTTTGGTGCTCCCATCTTTGGTGAATGCTGTGCACTCAAGATCAGGTCTATTTTAACACCCACTTCACAAACACAAGACGATTGTCAACAGTGTTGTAGCCATGCGGTATTTCCCAATCTTGCTGAATACTAACACTGATGGTTTTAAGACCTTTCTTACCACTTGTGTTTTTCAAGGAGAAAAACAAGAAAGACAGTCTCTTCCATGATGACAACTTAATAGCATCCATACTCGACCTGGTCATGGCGGGAACAGAGACCATAGCCACAACGCTGCAGTGGGCCATCCTGCTGATGATGAAATACCCAGAGATTCAAAGTGAGCTCCTTTCGCCTACGCTCCATCCATGGCATGGCAGATATGGGGAGGGGAGAAGCCGGGACGCAGATCCACAGAAGCTCTTTTGCCTTAAGAACCGAATCCCATCTCTCTATTATTACGAACTCCTGATGTAATTCGATGGTGGTCAAAGTCACAACCAAATAGTCCCTGTGCCTTGCTGGGAGAGAGCATGAGTGGAGAATGAAGTATGACGCTGGGGAAACAACCCATCATGTCTGAACTAGAAATAGAGCGGGGAAACCCCAGCTGGCATTTTAAGAATCCTCTTCCTCCAGACCCTGGAAAAATATGTTTTCCCCAAAACCAGGGGAACTGGCTTTCTTGCTGGAACCCAACTGTGTTTGTTCCTTCCAGAAAAGGTGCAGGAGGAGATTGGGAGAACTGTCAAAGCTGGAAGCTGGGCCACGTATGAGGATCGGACGTTCACCAATGCGGTGCTACACGAAGTGCAGAGGTTTATCACCCTCCTGCCCCACGTTCCCCGCTGCACTGCTGTTGACACCCACTTCAGGGGCTACTTCCTTCCCAAGGTAGGTAACTGCTCCAGCCCAGCAACACACCACCCTCCTCATTTTTGCCAGTGCCACTAGAGACTGGTTTCTTTAGAGGGAATTACAGGACAGAAGCCCAAAGCAGGTATCCAGAATCATCCCCAGAAGAGTTTCCATGTTGAGTCTATGAGACTGGCATTGTAGGACTATTGTTTCACAGTTGAGTCTGTTCAACCACGTTGAGTCCGGGGAGACTGGTGTTGTAGGACTCAGTTCAGTCCCTCTCAGGCTCAGGACTTCCTCACTCCACGAGTGACCCTGGTTTACCTCCTTGATGCCATCTGCACAGTGGAGTATCTGCCAGGGATTTTACGGGATGTGACCCTCTGCTTGAGGTTTCCACAGCACCCACGTGGTGTTTGGCTTCAATCCTTGGCACTGCTGGGGACATCTCACTGAATTCTCTCTCTGCTGCCTGATCAGATAAAACCCTCAGGGTCTCCACCTACCCCAGGTGGAGCAAGTCTCCTGGGACACTGAAGTCTGTGTCACAAAATTAACCAAAACAGAGCACTTTTACTATCTTTTGTGCCTTCATGTACTTTTCTCTCAGGGTATAATTGTAATCCCGTCGCTCACCTCAGTGCTGCTGGATAAGACGCAATGGGAGACACCACATCAGTTCAACCCAAACCACTTCCTTGATGCTGATGGGAATTTTGTAAAGAGAGAGGCTTTCCTGCCCTTCTCCACAGGTAACTAAAGGGCTGATCTGCACAGAGCTGAGGCTACGGCAGGACCATTTAATTACAATATACACTAACGTTTCAAACGCTGCCCCTTTGGGAGGAGGTGGCGTTTTTCTACCAGGCTGCTTTTAAAAGAGAAAAGTTTAAAGATGCATAGGATGGCTATGTGGGATAAAAGGCACACTGTGCCGGTGGGACTGGGACAGCTGCCTTTAGTGACATGGGCCCCTCTGCTCCGAAACGCTCTGGTGCATTTCAAGGTTTCACTCCTGCTTCCATTACGACATCTCAGATGCCAATGTGCCCATGGCAAATGTTCTAGTTTGATCTTTCCATCAAGTAAACACACTGCTTTCCTCTGCAGGGCGAAGGAACTGCATTGGAGAAAGCCTCGCCAAGATGGAGCTGTTTGTCTTCTTTGTAGGGTTGCTGCAGACGTTTACTTTTCAACCCCAGCCGGGAGTTTCAGAGTCTGACTTGGACCTCACCGTCCCTCAAACAACCTTCACATTAAGGCCTCAGCCCCAGGCAACCTGTGCTGTCCTGCGTGAATAACCCCAGCCTTGCCGAAGAGCAGCCCAACAAGTGGGGAAGCTGCTTAGACCCAACTTAGCTGTGCTAGGACTCACCACCCCCCACCCTACCACATCACCCTCTTTCACATTCCTGTCCCACTGTCTCCATCCACTCCCACTCCATTGCTCTCCACCACATCTGCCCCATAGGTTGATGACCCCTTCTTTGCTCCTGTGCTGGGAGGGGGGCATACGATCAATTAGAAACCATGATTGTGGTTGACAAACACACGCTTCTTATCAAGAGAGACTGGGTGTAGAGCCAACGGAGGGACCAAGGAGATGGTCTGGTGAAGGGGATTCAGCCCATGGGTAGTAGGTGTGACACCCAGGCTCCCCTGGCAAAGCAGTGACATTCATAACATTGCAGAACTCTGCCCGAAATCCTGAGGAAAGACGCACCACCGTTTGCTAACAGCCACAGAAATACACTGTGGGTCATACACTTGAACCATCTGTAGGTACCTCCTGAACTTTTCCAAGCTCTCTAGTTATCTGTAGCTTCTAGCAAAATCCCACCAGGCTGGGCAGCCAAGTCAAACACTGAGAGTGAAAAAACAGATCGATTCATGTGATTTGTGAACAAAGTTATTTCTGCCTTGGAACAGTGTCCTGAAAGCTGCCCCAGAGTCTGCAAACTCATTTAGATAAGCAAGCGCTGTCACCACCAAGTTCAACACTGCTTCACAGTCTGAATGAAAGAAGATCTAAATTTTGAAGTTTGCAGTCTAAACCACAAGGCCACGTGAGATTTGTACCAGCAACCGATCCTAAGAAGTTAATGACACAGACCCATTTCTAGTTTTATGGGTCTCTGTCTTTCCTGACCTTGTTAAATAGGAGCAAACACTGTTCCTCTCTTCAGACCTCCTGGGAAATGTCAAGAGCCAACCTCAGCAGTCAATGTGGTATTTGGGATGGTCTGGCCATTGGAACCAGACGTGCAATTTCCTTGCAAATGGTGTCTAATTTCACAGTCTTTGTATTGCACACACACACGTAAGGAGAATTGGGATCGGGGATTAGACAAGACCTGGTTTGGGTTGTTTTCCTTTCCTCTGTAGCTTTGCCTGGCTGTTTTCCCTGTCTTTAGCACTCCTATCTGCCAACATATTCCGCAATCTTATTCCAGTTGATGTATAGCTCAGGCAATTTTTCATCCATTTATCTGCCTGTGAATTGCCACTTCTCCATACGCATTTTCTTATCATGTGCTTTATCATATTGTTTGTTTCCCCCTTCATGGGAACCAAATAAAGTTTCAGTCCCATGTCTTCATTATACTTCATATGCCCGTTACCCAACTTGGCATAACACAGAAATGAAAATGCCACGAAAGGTTGATCCCGTGCCCAGAGTGGCAACAAATATTGGTTTACTTATATCTCATGGGTAAGAGGTTCTACATGCCCTTATCCCACCAAAAACCAGCTCAACAGGAGACCCTCCATATCGGCAGAGTGGTTACTCCAGGGCAGAGAGCTTTCCCTTCGTGCTCAGCTCTGGGCTACTAGTCGGTCCTGGGGATAGCCTTGGTTTTCGCTTTTAGGTCTTCGACTCTTGGTTGCAGAGGCTGAACGGAAGGTTCCCAGCACAGCTTCACCGCTGCTGGGGCTGTCCCTCAGCTTAGCGCCTTGGACCCTCAGCCTCTCGCCTCTTGCCCTCCCAAAGCATCATCTGCTGGCAGTGTCACTCTTGAGGAGCGGTGGCAGCAGGATGGGGTCTTCTTCAGGGCAGGCGGGGAGAGCCACGTGAGGCGACAGAGGAGCACGTCGCATATCAACTCAGCGAAGGAAGTCTTGGCCTTGCTGAAATAAAAAAAACCACTTTTGCCTTTGGCTTCAGAGAGGGCAGGGCTGTTCCTGGCCCAGCCCCCTCCAAAAGTAATATGAACTCAAAAGACACATACGGCAATAATCTGGTGCTCCGGGGGACAAAACTGGGCTGGGTTCAAATCTGCCCAAATTCACTGGTGGAACCTCAGCCCTGACCCCTTGCCATGGGCAATCTTGGCTTTGAAGGAGAGAGATGGGTCCCTTCCCACATGGCACGGCAGCCTGCGGAGCCTGCTCTCCTCGGACATCCCCTTCTGCGCTGGCACCCCCCGGCAGGCAGAGCGGCGCCTGCGGCAGTGCCGGTCGGGTAGAGAGATCCAGCGCTCTGCCCACCACCCCTGCCCCAACAACAGCCATGAGCTCCCAGGTGCAAACACCGAAGGAGAACAGGTTTCTCTGATTCCTTCGAAAAGTGCATCCTACTTGTGCCTGTGTTGGCAGAAGGATGGAAGCGATCGCCCCCTGGCACACTGAATTACACAGCTGAGTACGCCTCCGCGGAAGAAAGTGCCTGCCTGCCCTTTAGTTGTTCAGCCAAACCATGGCAGAACACTGCTTATGACTCAGCTACGTATTTATCTAGCAGAAAACACTAGAGGTGGAAATAACCATTTCCACATTCCTCAGTTGCCCTGGGGGTCTTCCCTCGAGCTGTGGAACATGTTTGTGCCTTGCAACACACCGCCCTGGATCGAAGGCAAACAGCTCGGGGCAGGACAGGCGGACGGGGTTTTAAAAGTAAGAAAGACCTGAACAAATCCCGCTCCGGCTGTGCCAACGTGTCCCATAGCCCGGCTTGCCACCCCTACCGCTGCCCGATGCTGGGACCAGCAGCTCCCGCGCTCAGAGGGGCAACGATCAGCAGCAAGGGCTGCAGCGGCTCTGCGGATGTGTAGGAGGAGGGCTGCCTCCTGCCCAAAGCCCCTCTGCCCGCTGCCCGGAGCAAGAAGCGCTGGGCAGAATGGCATTTCGATTTTCTTTTTGCCACGAGATGGCACCACGATCCCTCCAAGTCACAGCCCGGCCCTGCAGCGGGGCAAAGCCACAGCCCGGGGCTGGATGAGGAGGGCAGAGCTAAGCCTTGAGCCTTTATGGACCCCCACGTCCAACTGCGGTCACCTGCGAGCAAGGCTGGGAGCAAAGGCACGTGCACTGCCTTTTTACCACTAACCTGGAAGAATCAGGTAATATGCAGGGAACAGGAGGAGTCTTCTCCTCCCCATCCTGCAGACCAGGATCCCTCCCAGGGGTAAACCAGCTCATGAGGCAATGGCTCCAGCCACCTCCCATTGTCTGTCAGCTCCTTCACCAGCACTTCAGGCCAAGGAGGGAGCCGGCTGCTGTAAAAGAGTCCTGTAGCCTTCACTGACGAGGGGATGGGAGGAGGCTCCATCTCTAGTCCTCTCAGAGGAGGAGGAGAGATGGGAATGTCAGGAAAAGACAGCATCCTGACAAATCCCGCAGAAAGCTGGGAGACGTAAGGAAAGGGGAGATGGACAGGTTTTCTAACGCTTTGCCTGGATCTGCCCAGTTTCTGTGCTGCTTAAGGGAAGGGCACTTTAGAAGCCTCTTTGCAATGTTTGCATGTTTGCTGGTTCACACACGGTGCTCTGAAAAGAAGTCGTGTTTATGTATCTGAGCTACCTTTGTAAAAATGGGGGCGGGAGTGTCTTCACTTGTCTGGGGAGAGCTGTTAAGTCCCGCATCAATGCAGCCGTAGCAGAACCTGTACGCAGACAGGGCCAAAGACCCCCAGGGAACGATGCTAAGGTCCCTCAGAGCAAGGGGAACCTAAAAAGTCCAGCATTTGGCATCTGGGATTCAAAACCAGAAGTGTGGGAAGTGTTGGAAGAGCATCCATCAGACACAGAAAGCGCAGGTACCTGGGAATCATTTATCCCGTGTGCAGCAGGGAAAAGAGCAGGGATTAGAAGATGACACAACATTTGTATCTACTATTGCTCTCCAAGTGAAGAAATGACCCACTCTTGACAATCATCCTCTCCCAATAAGAATTACTTTCTTATGTTGTATATTTGATCTGTAAAGCAGTGGCTGTCCAGTCATTTCCAGTCATGTACCTGGCTGGAATTTTCCAGGTAACCTCACCCACCAGCCCTCCTCTGCTTCTTAGAAAAATATTTGTTCAGCGGGTATTTCAGCATGTAGCCAGTACTTGCAAGGCTTTGAGTAAGAAGCCACTTGTAGCTACTGCACAGGGATCTGATTTTTCCTTCGTGCATCTGCTAGGCTCTGCGCAAAACAATCCCGTCGATTTTTCTCAGTTCAGAGCCTTGGGCTCATTGGCGTGGCACAGCGCAGGCGCACTGCGGATGGGGTCTCATGGTGAATCCAACCTCTGCAGTCGTGTCCAGCTCTTTGACCCCCTGTGGAGGCTTAAAAGTAAATTTCTGGATCAAGCCTGTGAAGAAGATGAAGAGCTCCATCGTGGCAAGACTTTCTCCAATGCAGTTTCTCCGCCCTGCAATGCCAAAAGCATGGCTGTTGGTGGAGAGATTGGGTAAGTGGTGGCTCGACCTGACACCTCTTCCCTACTACTGGGTAGCAACAGTGTGAGGGACAGTATAGGCCTCAGAAATGGAAAACAGCGTGGCGTGATATTCATCAGCCACCACCGTTCATTTCCTTCAGGCATCTGAACGGGGCTGTTTCACTCTGAGCCTGCAAGGAATTGATCTGGGACACCCTAGAAACCCGCCTTCCCAAGGCAGAGGGAAGGTTGAACCCTTGCTTGAAGACGTCGAGTCTTCCGTAGGTCCCAGTGGTGTCTTTAAACACCAGGACCTGGTGTGGGCTGAGGGGCTGTTTGCAAGTCATCAAAGCCCAGAACCCCATAGTTCTAAACCATCCCCACCACTGGTGTCTGTGCCGTTCCCAACAGAAGCTCGGATCCTGTCCCTTGGCTAGGACCTTCCGAGGGGCACGGGGAACTCGGCGCCCCGTGCAGGGTCAAATGCTTCCGTTACCTGCGGAGAAGGGCAGGAACGCTTTCTTCTTTACGAAGTTCCCATCCGCATCAAGGAAATGGTTGGGGTTGAACTCGTCTGGCGTCTCCCACTGTGTTTTATCCAGCAGCACGGAGGTGAGCAGAGGAATCACCGTTGTTCCCTGCGGCACAACCGCA